ACATTTTTATCAAAAACTTCATGAAAGTTAGGAGACTTTGTCTCTTCGTGTAAACGCGCCTTTAAACTGATTAAATAGTTACAAATTTAAAGGCTAGTTCCATATGCTGCATAGAAGCATATTACAATGAATTTAATAATGAAAGAACCAGGTGAAGATTGCCATCTAGTGGCATGCTTAATAAGCATGAGAATATTAGTAAATACAATTATATGAATATACTGTGTGGAATTTACATAAAATAACCATGTAGTTGCCCCAGCTGAGAGAGCGTTCTTGGCAGCGAAGTTGAGAGGCAGGTTGGTAGACCTGCCGTGGCCGGTTGCTGAGAGCGTAAAGTTAATGAATGCTTGTTCTCGTTAAGGTTAAATGCACCGAAAAATACTTGTAGGAAAATTCAATAGATCGCAGCACTATCAGAGGGGAATTTACTTTACCGATAACGTCTGAACCAATGGTTCGATTTTCGATCTGTAAACGGCATTTGACGCCTTTTTAAAATAGAATTTACGCTACGATGACCTTTTCCCAAAAATCTAGCAAAATCTCAAATTTGAAATTAGTTCTCTAACTTCCGAGTAAAAATTTAAAAATGTGGGCTTATAGCGCGATGGCGACATGCTTTCTTAATCCATCGCCGTGACAATCATGCAAATCGGACGAATAGGAGCATCGTAAAGTGAAATTTACGAAAACACCTCGCCCCCCCCTTCCCCTTTGCCGTTGCGTCACCCACCCGATTGTTGTGGGCCCTCCGTTGGCGCGGGGCCCACACCAGGCCAGGCGGCGTGCGGCCAGCCCCGGCGGAGCAGGCGGGACTTGCGGGATACGCAAGCCAGACAGTCGGTTTCGGCTTTCGTCTCTTTGCATCTCAGTCTATTTTTCCACAGATACCAAATTAATGATTAATGATGAAGAGCGCCCGAATTATTTTTTTCGTCACATTTCTTAATAACGAGACGTATAATTTCCCTAGCTTAACTGTGTATTGTTTGGCTTTACGAACAAAAGGGCCTTATTCGACGCGCCTATTCGTCCGATTTGCATGATTGTCACGGCGATGGATTCAGGAAGCATGTCGCCATCGCGTTATAAGCACACATTTTTAAATTTTTACTCGGAAGTTTGAGAACTAATTTCAAATTCGAGATTTTGCTAGATTTTTGGCAAAAGGGCTTCGTAGCGTAAATTCTATTTTAAAAAGGCGTCAAATGCCGTTTACAGATCGAAAATCAAACCATTGGTTCAGACGTTATCGGTAAAGTAAATTCCCCTGTGATAGTGCTGCGATCTATTGAATTTTACTACAAGTATTTTTCTGTGCATTTAGCCTTAAAGCTTCATCACAGATACTACCTTACTAAGAACATAAATACATGCCAGTACAACGGGCATAGATAAAGTTGTAACGATAGATTGTTAGTTCACTGGTTGAATAATGTGATTGAAATAATTCATGTTGCAATATTAACACATTGCACCACGGAGGTAGTAACACAGTTCAGATTGATAACAATAGCACAGCTTAAATATTATCAGTGAAGCAGTTCAAGTGATTGCGGTTACAATATTCGAGAAGCACGTTACGCAGCAGAGGCAGTCACACAGTCTTACACTCGCGTATAAATACGTCGTGTAATCATCTTGAATGAATGTAATTGGCAATATACATAGTATGCAATGACTTGTACATATACGGGAAAGTAAAAATTGAGAAAATGTTTAAGCTGGAGGTGCTACAAATGACAGACTTTCCCGTATTAGTTTTCTTTTTTCTTTTGTCTCGGCTAGCCATGTGTGCGACATCGTGATGAACCTAGTGATGCGACATCGATAACAAACATCAATGTTAGCAAACAATTTTTTCCAACACCGATGTTTTTAGTCTGGGTTAGTAACTTCTAACATTAAGTTCGTGTGCATTTAAATTTAATGTGAGTGTGTTTCGTGTTTATCAATTCGCCGAATAAGGGAACTAGAAGGGGCTGACCCTACGCCCACTGCGTATTTGTTCACCATATCTCAATGTGCGAAAAGAACTTCAAGAAAGAGGAAATGCAAGGGTGGAGATCACCTCGGGCGAGTGTGTTTGGTCTATGATCAATATAATATCATTCCTTTGGTTCCAAAACACGAATAAGTGTTGCTATCAAATATTATTTCATATTTTAACTTTTACAGTACTGTGATCATGGGAATTTCTTATTCAGAAACAAAAATCGACACGCATATCGCAACCCTACTAGCTATTCGAATTTGCTACATATTCTTGCCCCCTGCCATCTGTCGCCGCCCAAAGTACTTTTTTAATTTTCTCGATTTTTCAGTTTTCAAATAGAACGGAAATATTATTTTAAGAATATTAAACTACAATAGGACCTTGTCCAAAGGGTAATTTTCTTTAAAAAATTTGGAGCCTTTTTTAACAAGTTTCTTCAATTCGGAAAAAATCCAACGCATGGTGTTCACAGACGGACGTTTTGAAAATAACCACTTTTTTCGGTATCAGGGGTCCCAAAAAGTGCATTTCCGTTGAAACCTTAAAATCGATTTTCTACTGCTTTAAATAACTTTATACTAAGTACATTACTCCGTAATTACGTACGTATACGACAAAGTAGCTAATGATGCTACAGAATGGCATACACGTTTTCATACACTTTTCTATTTGCCTTGGTCTGGGTTAGCTATTCTGACTTGCCCCATCCTCTTGCCTGCGCTGCCCAAAGAACTATTTTTTTTTAACTTTCTCAAATTTTGATATTCTTATATTACAACCGAATTATTACTTTAAGAATATTAAAGAAGAGTAAAACCTCGCTCTAAATGGCATCTTGGTTGGAAAATTTGGAGCCGTTTTTAAGAAAATGGTGTTTAAGCGTTACTTGAATGCGAAATTTGGACCTCTTTTCACGGAAAACAATAGTCTTAGAATAATTTAATCTGAAGTTATTTCAAGAACTTCCAGTCTAAAATGGAATAGTGTTAAGAAATCGCTGGTGTATATTAAAGACGTGAGAGATGTTTGTAAAAAAAAGTTGTGTATGCTTTCAAAAATCAAATGAATATAGCAAAAGGAACTTTATGTCATTTGGAGCAGTGAAATTATCACTATCCGTAAGAAATGTTTGAAAAAAGCATTTGGAGCTATCTTTGAGAAAATGGTGTTTGAGCATTTCTGAGAATGCGGAATTTTGAACTCATTTTAACAAAAAACTGAGAACAAATTTTGACATTTATAGCCCATGTAATCATAAATAAAATAATATAAACAAATTGCCGCTAATGTAAATATTAGACGTGAGAGAAGTCAAAAAATATATTTGTGTATTTTTTTCAAAATCATAATAGAGGACTATGACATTGATAGAGTGCATTTTGCACTATCCCTACAAAAAAATTGGAGCTGTTTTTGAGAAAATCTTGTTTTTGTGATTTTTTTAAATTGCTCATATTGCATGCAATATTGCACGAAAACTACTAAAATTTTCCAAAAATGTACATGACAATGAAAGAACTAACTATGGAGAACAAATTGTATTTTAAAGGAAAAATCTCCATCTTCAATTTTGTGGTTGTAGGAAGACACCGAACAAAATTCATACTACTGAAATTTTCGAATATTCAGAGTTGGCCGTGAAAATAGGACTTATGCCTGTTTTATAAGTGTGTTACTCTATTCTTACAAGAAATTTAAAGAAACAATTTGGAGCTTGTTTAGAGAAAATTTGAAAATGTCAGAGGGGCTTGTAAAGTACCCCCACATTTTGAAGAATATTTTCCAAATTCTTAAAGATTGGACTCGCGCCAGAAGTACAGGGGTTTCTTGAATTTGGAAAAAATCTTACGCATGGTTTAGGCTCTAGTAGTGTTCAAAGACACCGGACAAACGGACGTTTTGAAGAGAAAAAAACACCTTTTCGGTACTAAGGAACCCCAAGATGGCATTTTCGTTGAAATCTCGAAATCGATTTTCCGCAGCATTACATAACTTTTCCTATACTACGTATATTACTCCGTATATACGTACGTATACGGTAAAGTAAAAATGTATGCGTTTTTTGATAAATCACCATTTCCTCATTATTTTTACTTTGTTATTTCAGTACCATGTTACTGACCATTTAATGTACCATTAAACCTGCTTAGTTCTACCTTGAGAGAATTACCTTTTAAGAGCCAAGAATCGAGCAATCCAGCTAATGACCTTCAACATTCTCGTCATTCTTCCAGATTTTCATTTGAGCTTATTCTGAACAGTAGTCATATTAATCCTAACATTTTCCTTCCTCTTCTTCAATGAAGATGATCTGTAAAATAGATTTTCCCAGGTTGGCATTATGGACACAATACAGGGTAAGAACTTGATGGGTCAGTTACTTCATTGTCTCCAAATATGCAGGGTAATATCTTTGGGTAGCTCTACCTAGAGGCACTGCCTTCTCTATGGCTTTGAGTTGTGTCTTCCCATTTGAGAAGTCAGTTTTAGGTTCCTGAAGGATAGAGAGGGTCTCCTTTAAGAGTGTGAGGTCCTCCTCTCTCTTTATCTTTAGGGTGTTTTAATCTCCAAGGCGAGAGATCTTATCAACCATGGTCTGTGCTTTCTCCCTCTAAGGAAAGGCACCATTGACAGAACAGTTTATTCCTGTAATCATTTGGAGATAGTGGAAAGGGTAGTTGCATTAGGGGAGGGTTGGGGAAGGTTGAAGGGCTATCTACTTCTTGGTTGTAATGATGTGATGTAAGGAGATGTCTGTAATATTAAGTTGAAAATTTTTATGTGGCTCGTGATGAGAATGTTTTGGACAGAATAAACTTAAAAGATAGGCAAAGTATTTTTGTTTTATTTTATAAGTGTATTATTTTTGTTTATTGTGTCTTACGAATAATAAAATTGTGATTGCATTTGATTGATACATCCAACAATAAAAATGTTAGAGTTGATATTTTGATCAATCATTGAAAGTACTCTGTTATACAACATGACTATTGTATTTTAGGAAATGTAGTCAACAAACCTGAACATGGTTCTCTTGACTGGGTAAAAATATGTGAGAAATCATCCAAAGTTATCACTTTTATTGATTTGGCTGGTCACGAACGATATCTCAAGACAACAGTGTTTGGTATGACTGGACATGCCCCAGATTTTGGAATGTTGATGGTAAGTTAAACATCTAATTACTCTTCGTTCTTGTTTCGTATTCTTATCGTTATGAAAATAGATACTCCTAAAAATCAAATTCCTTAATTACAAATTGCTTTTTTCTCCCTCACTTCAAAATTTATTTTTTAATATATGCATATGTACAGTAGTTGAGTAGATAATACAAAATAGGAACTATGATAAAATTAATTTTACCTTCATTCGTTCTTTAAATGCCATGGACTGCTGTGGTGCTATTTTTCTGTTCCTGGGAGGTGAAACTAAAAGCAAAGAATCGACAAGCATTTTTGTACTATGATTAAAGTTCATTCAGAATCCATCTAAATTCCTCATTTTTACAGACTGCCAATTTTGCGACTTTAATTCTAAATATGTGTAAATACTTCTGCATTTATTGCAGCATTCTGCCTCTTTATGCCATTTTGTCGGCGTAGTCGAAGGTGTACGTTTTCTTTCAGTTCGCACCCCTTTGTTTTCAGCAGGGGGGGTGCTCATGCATATGTTTTTCGACTTCAGCTAATGAGCTTCAGGCACCAGTTTGTGTCACAGTGTTAGCGGGAACTTTAAATGCAGCCAGATACAAAAACTATCACCGTGTTACAAGTCATTGAAACAGATATGTGCAGCATTTCTTTTAAACGTTGCATCTTTTACATCTTCGTGTTATTTTTGGTTGGTTACCGTTGTCACTTTATTACTCTTTCATAATGTTTCTCAACACTTCTCGCTCTCCATGCAATATGGCGGCTAGCGTCTGATTTGGCTATTCAAAAGAAGTGTCCGTGCTGTGGCCACGCAGTTCCTTATGCAAACTGGTGGTGCGCAGAACGAGCAAAAATCGGTGTGCCGGAGTAACTCACCCATATCTTTCCACCGTGGTCTTCAGCCGAAACCGGCGTTTGATGTGATTGACAAAATGTAATTTATTATTATCATCACCATCATCATCATCATCATTATTGAAAATTTCATGTCAATTCAATTGCTGACGCGATGTTGGAGTGGACTGTATTTGGGTTGAATTCGCGCACGATTGGAACCCTATCACACAGCTCATGTTGTTTGGTGGTGTCCAGGAAGGATAACAGGTACATGCTTTTTCGTACGTCGCAAATATCTTTAGGTAGTAGGAAAACGTGTATGATACTTTGAAAATGTAAATTGTGAACACTACAATGTACAAATGAAGCTCGATGCTGCTCTTCGCTGTTGGTTGTATGCCCGCACATGGATTAGGAAGTCACTTCAGCGTAACATCGTAGGCGGTGTGGTGCGGTGAGAACGACACCGCTTGCGGTTGGCGACGTAAGTTAAGCTGGGGTCGGGTTGTCATGCACCAGAAGTTGCGTCACTGACAACAAATTTATTGCCGTACTTGCAGGCACATATTTTCAAATGAAAATTCCTGTAGCTATCAGTTCTACCACGAAACAAATACAGTTACATCAAGCCGTGATAGAAAATGGTTACTAGCGTAGTAACTTAGCGACTTAAAAAAGACTGCAACTTGATTTTATTCACAGTCAATGAAAACCTCAGGTGTTAATTACATGCTCCAACTATAGTGTGTCCGAGGTTAAGAATCAAGTACATAGCCTTATGGGCTTTTCCGGTTAACCGGTACCCCGTTTTTAACATTTAAAAACAGTTTTAAATCCTTATTAACATAATTTTTTATCACAAGAATTACTTTAGTACAATAATACCTCGGATACATTGTATATTTACCACAAATTGTGGCGAATATCTTTTGAATTTTTTAATATGTGTAGTTCCTTCTGGATCAGCCGTAGCTGCGGTGCCACGTGCTTCGGTTACAGTTATTATACTGTACTAAGAGTTCTCACTATTTACGTGTGTTTGTTCGCCTCTGTTATGTTTTTGAGATTTATGGTTTGGATCACGACAAAGTTAAATGTAATTTCGTTTACGTCTCTTCTTTTTGATTTAGGTTTTGAATTAAGTAAATTACAATTTTTTTTAAAATTTAATTTTTCCTTTGCAAACTTTATTTAGAATGTGTGAGCCACCAACCTTAAAGCTACAGTGGTAAAGTGTTTCATATTGGGGAAAACAATTGGTTATTAATTTTTATAACTATTGAACTATAATTATTTTTTCGAACGGGATTCCAACAAAATACCGGGAGATGACTGTCCGCTGCCCCAGCCCGAGGCAGCTCGCCTTCCAGTGAATTTAACTTTTGTTCCCATGGGCTCGACATATTTTGTCCTCAAAGATTTTAAATATTTTGTTCAGTAATCAAAACTTATTATTTCTGTACTGTTAAAAAGAAAACAAGAGCCTTCACCACTTTACATCTGCATGTATTTGGCTTGATTTTGAATATTGTATTGAAATACTGGTGCACTTTAAAATTAATATTTCTTCCTGATTTCTTATGACATTTCGAAGCACATAGGACATGAGAAGCTTAACAGAAACGTTTCCTATATATTGTCGCATTGGAATTGTTTTAGATATGCAGAAAGGATAAAAATACGCTTTCATCAAATTGAAAATGTTCGAGATAACATTAAAGCTAAAATAATGCTCCGCTGTATTGCGGGATACGCTCTCACATTAGAGCTAAACATGCTCCGTTGTATTACGGGATACGCACTCACTACGCTCTCACCATCGAACGCGTAATTTTCTATTCATACAGCAAAAGAGCGCCATGTTGGCATCACTGTTGTCATAAGGCAACGCCATCTGTGTACGTTTCTTGGAACTTCTTGAATTAAGAACGGGTTTGGTTGATCTTTCAAGTTAGTGCGTGGTCGAGCTTGCTTTGTGCAGCGCCATAGGCTTAGCTTCCTGTGCTGAGAGAGCCTGTAAGGTAGAGGGTGTGGGAACTAAAAATAGTCACCCGAACAAAAGGTGCCATACCACACCAGGACTCGTCTAGAGGGGAGGTGGAGAGCTACAAGGTGTCGTGCGTAAAAAAGCGGCAGTTAGGCCACGTCAGAACAGTGTGGAAGGGAGATGACGTACGAGGTCACGTGATCTGGCCTGTTATAAGCCGGCGTCACGGAGCCTCGCGTCAGGTAACGAATTTTGGTTTCTTCGCAGCTAGATCGCAAAAACTTTGTTCGCCCAGACTGGCGCGCTTATGCTCGTAGTAGTTTCGATGTATTCGGGCAGATGTGGTTCTCGACCAATGCAGGGCAGACTGTATCTTCCGAGGTACGTATGATGCATAGTGCGAGACAGCCTAGTTGGCTAGGCGCGTGCAGAACGGGGGACTGATGTTAGATAACTTCGACGAACGCCTTAGAATGAGGTTTTGTAAATATTGGAATTATTGTGTAAATAAATTGTATATAGTCCACTCGTGACTGTTTCCTTGTTGTGCAAATCCTGACACCCGAATTCACATTTGTTACGGACGTATGAATACCTTTACTTTGTATATTCAAGATGAGTAATAAAATAACATTTATACGAAGAAATGAATAGGTTATGAGCCCAGGCCACGTGTGAATCGTATTCTCTAGTGAATACGAAATTCAACGTCCGAAGAAACGTGCCGTTTTTTGGGCTGAACTGGAACTTAGTGTGTAAACAACACACACGGCTACCGGGAGTGACTACAAAATAACAAGTGGATAAGCTTGATGCCCCTGAAGACTGAGCAAAGTGGAATTGCCAAATTTCGATGGTGTTGCGTGTGTATGAACATGAAAACAATGTTAACGGCTTGCGAGCGTGTCCAGTTTTTGGAAGTTATGCAACTGCGACAAAAAAAGCAATTCTTCGGCAATGAAAAAAGAACGACGCAAAAACGGTAATGTGTTAACAACTGTGCTAGGAAAAAATATTGCCGAGCTTGTGTTGACTTGCACCAGTGCTGAAGAGATTTGTACAAAATTTAGTGCGCTGTATGAACGCAGCAGTACGTAACGACTGAATACGCTGATTAATTTTTCCGCGTGACGCATGACAACAAAGAAGACATCAGTACGCATGTCGCTAAACTGCAGACGTTCGTGGATTTGAATGATGAACTTAAGAAGAATGAAGAAGTTTGGGAGAATTTTGAATGGCCGCTTATCTACGCTGGGAAAAGAATATGCCAATTTTAAAGATTTATGGGACACGATTTCGTCGGGAAATCAATCTGTGAATTTGTTGGTTAAAAAATTGTGCGCGATTGAATTGCCTGATCAAGGGATGTTTAATCGACTGCGTTTGTTGCACGCGATGGTCCTAACAGGAAGCATAAAATTGTCAAAAAAAATGACACCAAGGAAAAATCAAAGAATCTTTAACGTGCATAACAGCATCCATGACACATATGTAAGAAATTAGGACATTGGGCAGCAGAGTTTCTGGAGAAGAAGACAAATGGCGCTGCAGGAAGCAAGTCGGTCTTATTAAGTGTTATTAAGTGTATTATTAAGTGTGGCGTTTATTATGCTTGTCATGGGTGCCTCAGTCGATAATTTTATTAAAACCGATAAATGATACTGCGATAGTGGCGCCACAAATCACGTCATCTCGAATGAACAGTATTTTACATCGTATGAGAAGTTTGCCGTACTTGAAAACATTTCGTTAGAGAAACGAGGTGTAAATATGCTGATAAATAGGCTGATAGACACCTGTGGCATGGCATATGCCCGCTCATGGGTAGTGTCAACATTCAAGTACGTCTAATTAATTCTTGGTCAGATGCGAACTGAAAAACCTTTTGCATGTTCCAGAAGCAAGTGGCAATTTATTTTCCGTGAAAGCATTTGCAAGAAGTGGTTTTTCTACGAGACTTTATGATCGAAGCGTCAGCATAAAAGATCGTGTCACTGGAAAAAATCATAAGATGGGTTAGCCATTGTGAAGCCGACGCAACGCGTTCAAGTGTATATAGGGACATTGCTGAAATTGCAAGTTTATCATGGAAGGTTTGGCAAACAACATACATCTGTGAAGTGTGTTCTGAAGCAGATGACCAACGTGACCAAGTACTGGACTGTTGTACCCAAGTTGGCGGGTTC